AGAAGGCTTCAGCTTGGCGTTTGCCCCTGATTTGGTAACCGATGGTCTCGTTTCCGCTGCCATCACCGTTTTGCAACTTGCATCACCGATCGGGCTGCCTGCGATGATCGGAAAGCCGAGTGGTAAAGAAATCAAGAAGCGAACCCTGAATCCAAGTGGATCTTCTTCGAACCTCGAAAATCTTGCTCGCGAAGAGCGACTTCCGACACCCCAATCCGGTGAAGACAGAGCGGATGTCGACATGACTGAGGCTAACGCTTCCAGCTCTGGCGGTCCTCAGTCCCATATACTCATGCGACCCTCGCATGAATCCAGAGCCTCCAGTCCAAGTAGCACTCCTCGCCGGCTCTCTAAATCAAGTTCACCTCGTATGGCTTTCTTTTCAGCGGATGGTATCGCAGGAGGTAATCAGATGCTTGGTAAAAAATGCTTCATGGAACCCCCTGTCGCAGCACACTACATCAGAATGGCAACAGATGTCCTTCAGTCGAGCGATAGATCCCAAACGCGATTGGGCACCATCATGGCGAGCAAGATAATGAAGTTGGCCACTCAAGCTGGTTTGATGGGATCTCCCAGCTCATCAAACTTAGTGGGTCCCACCTCAAATACCAGTCACTCCCCCGGTGGTGGTATGGTGTCTCATGACGAACGCCCCTCGATTTCTTCTACATCGTCACTTTCTTCTACGAGGCACGCGACAATTTCGAGTGCCGAGCACCCAGACGTCAACCCTCACCCTAAATCTAAGCAGGACGGTGTGATTGGGTTAGACAGCAGAGCCACCGACGTTTCTAACCCAGAGTCCTCTTTAAGACAAGCCGAAGATGACGATGAAATTAGTGGTGACAACATTCATACAGCCTCGCAGCAAAGGGCTGTCCTGATCGCTCAACCTGGGCTGCAAGACCCCGACTTCCACGAAGATGAGAACGAGGATGAGCCAACGGAGGGAAACGAGATGGCCGATGATAATTGTGATGGTGATGGTGAAGCGGATGAGGAGGACCAAATAACCGGTGATTCTTACTCAGCTATTCATCATGAACAACAACCCTCCGAGAAAGATGGCCAAGACATGATGGAAGAAGATCAGCAGTAGTCCTTTTTTTTTTCTTCCACCAGTATGGTCGTCATTTGTTGTTCAGTTTTGTGCTTCTTTCAATATATTTGTTTTCACACTTCTATTTCTTATGTTTTCAAAATGCCATTGCTAATACTGTTAGCCTTGGGAACTTCCTCTGTAATAAAACAATTACCTCGCTGCGTGATTACGCAGCTACTTGTAGCGTATAATGAGGCCTATGTAATTTTGCTGCTGTGATACTGCTATTACACCTGATGTTTTTGTTATGTTTGAAAAGTCTGGACTTCCATAGAATGAAAGCTATATCTCATCTTAACTTTGAGGGTGCAAGCTATTCTCAAGTATCTCTGCTTGTTGGGGTGAAGTGCCTGATTACCTGTGGCATTGTGATGGTTGCTGCCCAATTTATCAACCCCTAGGGTGGAATGTGTTATGTTTGACATTCAAAAGTTTGATTCATTTTCAAGAAGGCTGCCAGATATGTCATTCTTTCAGAATTTTGGCCATTGGCAGCTGTTTAGTCTGGAGAAATAACAAGGGGAACACACATTCTGACTGTTGTAGAATTCCACATGTGCCCATAGGCAATTTGGAATCTTTGTCCTGTTATTTGGGCCAAGTGTGGTATTTTTTTCTCAGCATTTTAAGGCCAGATTCTTTCTAGATGACCTTTCTATGCAGTTATTTGAAAAGCAATCATGTGTTGACCAGTGGAGTCAAAATAGTTGATGTGAAATCGAATGTATCATGTGGATGCACATAGCTAAAACCTCCTTTGATATTTCAGGTTTTTTGTTGGGAATATTCTTGGAGCTTTTATAGGTCTTAGCTCAACAAGCCAAAATGCCACAAAGATTACATTCAATTGTAGTTATTCCAAAGATACTCCTAATTTGACCAGCAAAGTCAAAATGTCAACATCTGACATAATTTTCCATGTCACTAGGAGCAATTAACATGTTCATGCTTTCATTGGAACTCTTTTTGAAAGTTGTATAAATGATGAGCTTGAATACTTCAAAGACAAAATGTAGCATAGCTTTTCCCCAAATTATCATACTCTAACCAGTGTAATCATAATTCTGAATGAGCAATTCAATTATCCAACTCCAAATTTTACTAAAGAAAAATTGAATGTCTCAGCCTTTCATTTTGATTACTTTTGGAGGTTTCCTTAGATAAGGAAACTGGACACTTCATAAACCACAAAAAGGGATCTATCAATATCAAGACCAACAGTAACCCAAAGATGTTTTGTTGAAATTTAAGACTTAAGGCGTGTAAGAGGATGAGGGCCAAAAAAGGGAAGAACTCTTTTTTGGGAAAGGCTTGCGGAAAATGAGTGTAAGAACCAATGAGTTATCATTCACAAGTAAGAAGTCAAGTTTAAATAGACTAAGTACAAGTGAGCAAAATGTGGTAGAAATGAAAATGAATAAAAACCCATAATGAATAAAAGCTGAGAGAAAGAGACATGGGTTTTTGGAAGAAACAAACCGGTCAAGGCTTCTCAGTCTGTTTTAGACAAGCCGGATGAGTTAATCAAAAGAAAACATGTCATAATTCACAAACATTTAGAGTCGTTAATTCTAAGTGACCAGTTTCTAATAAATCAAACAAAAGTATCAGGAAAGAGAAGAAATCATCGTAGAGACATGAGTTGTTGAGAAAAGCTAATTACTTAGGGTTCATATTTGACTCAGAAGGGGCTTAATAACAACAGAAAACAAGCTACTTGATAATTATAGACTGGTCTGATTTTTGATGACAAGAAAGAGATGAAGGTCAGAGAGACAGAACTGAGAAAAACTCAACATGTTTCTTCATGTCAACTAAACCAATCAAAATGATTTGAAAAGGATGAAATGTATTCTTATATTATAAGAAATGATAAATGCATTCATTGATTCAAAGTTGATTGTACCATTTGTGACTGTTTACAGAGAAATATTTAGTGTATCAATGTATTTGCTTTGACATCTCAACTGTGGGGTAAATCATTTTGCTTATTTTTTTTGTTCTTCTTATACTCCTCTGGGGTAAATCCTTTTGCTCAAAGTTTAATTCATTTTATCATAAGCTTATTATAAGAGTTAAACAGGAATAGGCTGTGATGATACACTACACACTTTTTCCAAAAAATTGTTAGAATAGCGGCGGTTTTTTTGTGCACAAATCCTGTAATGTTTGCAAGCTTATTTTATGCTACACTTCACTCTGGGCTGCTACAGGGCCACAATGCCACCAACCAGTGCAGTGGGCACATTTGGGGGGCCTGTGTGCATAGCATCTGCATAGACAAGGCAGAATTCCACTTTGCCACACTTGATTTCAGTGGAATTCTGCTATGCTAAACCATCCTACCACAACTGTTAGCATTGCTGCCCATTGGAATTTAAGCCAACAAGGATGAGATTGAGAAGAAGAGGGGAGGGAGGCTTTGCAAAGGTACTCAGTGGCACTCTTAGGGGGCTCAAGAGTGGCACAAGGTTCAGATGAAGGAGAAATGATGACTGACTAGCTGGTTTCCAACAGACTGGATACAATAATGATCAAAATGTGGCTGGAAGCAAATAGAATATGAAGGAAGGACAAATTAATTCAATATGACATGTACCAACAAGAGAGTACATGTACATTAGCTGGAGAGATGAAAAGCCCTAGAATATTCTTCATGGTTCTATGACTACAAGAAGCTGGGACAGACATGAACATAGGCTAAAAACAGGCTATAGTGAGTGGGGACCTCAGGTGATGGGATTGGGATCAATCAAGAGACAGTCAAATTTTGGGATGAGTAAGAAACACCAGAATTGCAACATGGCCCTGCATTGGTTCAACCAAAAATGAAATACAGAGTCTTTTGGTTGATTGTAATATCACAGTTTGGTGGGTGCATGTATATTTACTGCCAACTTCTTGGCCAATAGGTGCAATCTATACCAGTTTGCAAGAAGTATTCCTCCATGCTGGTTGGAATCATGATCCAACCACCTATAAAACAAATTCCTCCTTGTTGCACAGGTAGATGCAGTACCTTCCTTCCATATTGCAATGAAAAGGGGAAAAGGCATGGGACAGAGCAAGATGTGAGATGTGATGTGGTTTTTGATGATGATAATATAATCAGAACAACTCATGCAGTCAAGCTATGCAATCTGATGTCTGATGGAATTAACAGGGCTTCAGAATCCCTTCCAAAGTCCTCCTTTTCCAAACTTATTTTGAACTGGATTCAAAAAAAAATTGTAATCCCATTTTGAAACTCACCATGACCAAGGCTGCCAACGTAATATCCTGCAGGTTCAGATTTTAAGGTATATTGACAATGAAACAATCATTTAATTTCTTCAAGACCCCTAGTGTGTAAAATGTATATTTCATTTTAACTAAGATGCCTATATCATTTGTCTTGTTTTCTTATATCAGTTCATCCAAAGCTAAATCCTATATGATTTACAAGTCAGAGTTTGACCATCTCAATTGGGGCTCCAGATTGATTGGAAGCCCTCCAATGTGCCCTTTTGGATTACAAAGCCAAAGGACTTGGATTTTCTGTCATCATTAGAAAACTCTTGAATGAATTTAGTGGCCCTTGACCTTCCTTTGTCAAAAACCAAAGCTTTTTTTGTTAGTTTTCAAGTAGCCAACTTCCTCGATCCTTCCGATACAAGCGAAACACTAACTATTTAGATAGAGGGACAGAGTTTGTGTATTAAGCGGATAGTATCACAGAGAAGGTTTTTTGAACAGGTAGGAATCAAGATAGAATAAAGTTCAAGAAACAAGGAAAATATCGAATGTGCGAGTCTTGAGGAAAAGGTTGGTCAATTATCATCCCAACTGTCCTTTCAGATACATTACAGTAATTATGAGCCCAAGCAAGAAGACAACCGAGACAGCAAGCATGCCTTCACAGGGCGTAGGTGGACCGGATGTACTTTGGGCTACAACTGTCCTCCCTTGGTTGAATAATCTTCTTGAGTGCTGGAGTTCAGTCAGAGATGGTTGACTTGTTTCGGGGCTAGGCTCGACATAGCCCACTTCTTTTGCTCTTGCATCTGCGCCCTGGCAGTGGGCGCACCTACCGTGTAGCTTGAGCCATGGACCGGAACAGTCCAGGTGAAAAGGTTGCTTGCAGATCGTACAAAGGTGTATTTTCGAAGAATCCGCCACGAGATCGACATTGTCCAGGCAGATGGCACAATGTCCTTCCTGCTTGTCAATCACGATCCCAAGGAGCTGTGGGTTCTCTTCCTATGGATCAGATCAAAATAAATAAATATGTATCAAGTTCGGGTTTTCAAAGGGCTGATCTCGATACAGGTCTCACGAGGAATCAACTCACGTCCCGAGTCGAGTCAGGTTGATTGGCCGGGCTTTCACAATCAAAGGCAAGTGGCATATTCCGTTCGATCGGACCGGATGGAAGATGAAGCTGATTTGCTTCGGGAAAGGACTCGGCAGCTTGGTGTGAGAAAGCAATGTGGGAGCTCTCGCCGAGGGATCCCCAACAGCAATCATTGCCCAAAAGCTACGAATGGCAAAAATACTTTTATGAGTTAATGGAGATGGTCAGGTACATGAATATGGTGAAGATATGCGCTCAACTAGAAGGATTAGCCAGGCGATCATTTGTCAAATGCCCAATAGAATGTATGGTGAATCCGACGTTTTCCTTCTTGCGGGCTAACAGGTATCTAGTTGATGGTAATGAAGACTTCTCTGTAGCGAGTTTCTGGAGAGAAAGGGAGAGAGTGATACGCACGCCGTGAGGCTAGTCGATTGAATTAAACCCGTAGAGAGCTTCCAGTCCTCGGAGCCAAAGCCCAATGGCAACAACGGAATAGCAACTAGTCTGACTTGTGTTGTGCCTCATTCAGGAACCCTACTGATGATACCTGACACAGCTGTATCACAAATTCAGCTGTTTTTTTACAAGTTACAAACTTCAAGCATAAAAAACAGCCAATTCCCTCTTGATAGTGAACCAAGTTTCTGGTCTTTATTCGATAGAGCCCACACGCGCAGGGGTAACGGCTCCGGTGAACTGACCCAGGAAGGACAAGCAGACACGACAAGGCTCGTCAAGGACAGCAATGATGCATGTTTTAATGTTGATCTTGTTAACTGAACATTTTTACCAAGGCGATGACTTTCCCTATCTGGCAAACCCGATCACATTGATAGCGGGCCAGGACCCCGGCGCGACGAAGCGCAGCCTGTCGGCGGGAAACTGCCTGGAAAGGAACTATGTAATAGCTGTCGGACGAAGCTTGCCCGTCGGCCGCCCGGTGAAGCTCGGACCGCCAAGTTTACGTAGCTGTTCACCGGCGCTGTACATAGCTGTTCTAGCGGGCACTCTTCAATTCCCGAACCATCTGGAATCTATCTGTGTGGAAACTGATGGAAGAGTTCGAAGTTTGAAGTGGAAGAATCGACTTGGAACTTGAATCTCATAAAACAGACTCGGAGGGGCCTAGCGCGGGGAGGATTACATCTTTATACAGCTAGCTGCAGAGCCCTAAACACAACTTCTGTAGAATCCTCAGATTTCGTAAAAAAAACACCCCCAGACCACACAACGGGAAGCATATACCAGAAATCGCGAAGATCGATCGATAAGCTCGAAACAAAGTGGTAGGAAGATTGCAACCCACTAGGAGCATGGCCGATTCTCAACTAGCACACGAGTCCGACAAGCCAACATGGGGCAGCGCAAACACACTGGAAGATGTACCACCCACTGAGGAGGCACCACCCCAACTACCGGTGCCATCGGAATTGCTGTTCAAACCTGCCTCAGCCGACCATCAGCGACCGAAGGTCTTCTTCGACATCACCATTGACTCCAATTCGGTGGGCAGGATCGTCTTCGAACTCTTCGATGACATCGTCCCTAGGACTGCCGAGAACTTCAGGGCGCTCTGCACTGGTGAAAAGGGAGTCAGTCAATCGTCTGGTAAACCGTTATCTTACAAAGGTAGCACGTTCCATCGAGTGATCAAAAGTTTTATGTGCCAGGTTAGTTTTTATCTATTCTCGTTCTTCTTTTTTTGGTACCAGGCCAACCCATTTCTGACCCTTGTGCTCAACTCTTTCAGGGTGGCGACTTCACAGCGGGTAATGGTACCGGTGGCGAATCCATCTATGGGGATAAATTTGAGGATGAAAAGTGAGAGGAGTGATACTCTTTCGGTCCTCCCACTATGTAGCCAATTTCTTCCCTACTTGCGTTTTTGCTGATGACGGAGATGATGTCTCTTGCAGTTTTGAGCCTCGGCATCACAATTAGATTTTTTGATGACTTGATTGAGTCGGCGGTGAGGAACGTCGGCTGAAGCCAGGGTGACTAGCTATCTCCAGATTCCGGAGGATAGGATTGATAAGGAGGCACCATGGAACCTGCTTCTTATGATCTATCTTGTGACCCCCGACGTTGGCTCATGACTTTCTTGTTTTTATGTACTTCTTGATCTGCAGTAGGAATCTCGTCCGGGTCCTCTTCTAACTCAACAAAGTCCCTCTGACATGGGAGGGGAGCACCGCCGCACCCGTCCCTCCCTCCGGTCGACGAGTGGGAGGATCACCCTAGTGATGTGAGCATCCCTCTTCATATACTTCAAGCCCACGTACAGGAGGCTCGAATTTTGTAACTGTGAGATCAGCAATTAGCATTAGATAAATTTCTGATCGGTCTCTTGATTCTTCTCCACAGGATGATGAAAAGATCGAATACATTGAGACCTGCCTCAAGATAGCCACCAAACTGAAACAGATTGCAACGAGCGCATTCAAAGAGGGTAACTTCGAGGTGGCAGCCAAGAAATATATCAAAGTGCGTTGGATGAAGTTGATGATGGCTCTTGGGATCTTATTTGTACTGCTCCCGTCCTGAAGGTTAACGGAGAGTTGATGTCTCTCTCTCTCTCTCTACATTGCTCTCTCCTAAGGCTGTTGCTTATCTAGACACTCATACGGTCTTACCCGATGGCTGCAAGGACGAGGAGATCGAGAGTTACACGTCCCTACGGGTTACTATCCTTTTGAACGCTGGTCTGGCTTCGATCAAAGCTGCCAGCCAACCCGGGGTATCCCCCCCAGTGGCCAAGAAGCACGCCCGAGCTGCGATGAAGTACTGTAGCAGGGTCTTGGACATGCACCACTCGGCTGAACAGCCACTCCAAAAGTCTAAGCAGGGCTTGATCGGATGTTACAAGGAGCTAACTAATGATGAACGGTGAGTTGAATTGTTCAGCCCGATACAGCCTGATCCGATCTGAACCGCCCCTTGCTCTCTTTTTCTTCACTCATGGTTGGTCACAATAGAGCAAAGGCACTCTATCGACGGGCATTAGCTGGGGTGATTGTCGAAGAGACTGATGTCAGTTTGAAAGATCTGACCGAGGCCCATAGACTGGTACCCGCCGATCAGGCTATCAAGAAGGAACTCGAGCGAGTCCGACTTCAGATTGATAACCAACGGAAGAAGGAGAGAGCAGCATTTGGGAAGATGTTTGGTTGAAATATCTAGATCGATTTTTGGATCCTCCCTGCTTCCTACATATTCCCATTTTTTTTGTTTGAACTGGGATCTACCATTGTCTAGTTTTTTTGGAAAGACAAGTAAGGAAAGAAAGTTTGGAATGACTCCGAGTTTCTTGTTTTTTTTTTTTTTTTTTTTTTTTTTTTTGATTGGAAAATAAACCCAGCTTGGGGTAATTCTGGGATTTCTTTGTCGCCAACAAATGTCCAGTTGAGGAAAGATAATGATAATGAATATTCTTGAGGCCTCCGATTGGTAGTAGATGCAGTGAGCTCTAAAGATCATTTAGCAGGATTGCTAATAAGTGCTGTTTCGATGATGAGAAATAAAAGACCAAGTCCCTCAGTAATCCCAGGGGATACATTGCTGGTAATGTATGTAGTCTGTTGACCACTATCGGGTTTTCCTATGATTTCCTTTTTTTTTTTAAAAAAAAATTTCAAGCCTTCTTTTCTTCAGAGGATGGATCAGCTGTCCTCCTCCCTCAAATACTCCTTTCCTTCGTCTTGACTCTTCTCAACCACTCTGAGAATTATTTGCAATGCAGCAGCTCTCACTCTCCTTCCTCCTCCGAGCGCTCACTGGCCTGGCCTCCCATAAGCTTCCTACCCAGACTCAACTCTCCAAGATCATCACCGCCATCCTAGACTCACCCATCTTCTCTAGCACTAGCACTAGTGGCAGTGATCACCAACAGCCAGAGTTGCTCAGCTCGATCGCTGAGTTCTTGGTGCTCTTCAGAAACCTAACCAACACCAAGAATAGAGACAATCAACTCCAACGATTGCTCAGTGCACTCCTGCTCAACAAACAACAACCTCGGCTCAAACTACCCTCACTCCCACCTAGCCTAGCACTCCCACCATCCACCTCTCCAACAGTTTTCTTCAGAAAGTTACTCCTGATCACTACAGAGATACCACAGGATGTCAACGAAATCATCCGACAAGCAATCGACCTCCTCACCGAACTCTTCCAGTCAACAGAGCGAATGACAACCCAGGAAGAGGAGCAAGCAGCCGACAGACTCGTCTCTAAGCTGATCAAACTCATCGTCCATCTACGCACCAACGTGAGCCATCTCTTGAGGGAGGAGATCGAGGCCATCCGGAAAACTCTTGCTGAGGACCTCCAGGGATTCGAGCCCAACGACGAGTTCCGCGAGATCCTCGGGCTCGTCGGAGAGTGCATCGATGGTTTCTGTACTCGTCATGATGATGATGATCGTGCCCCCTCTTACTGGAATTCACTTACCACTCCTTGTAACCAACTGGTCGAATTGTTCACCGAGCACAAAGATCAATTACTCGTCCCTTTGAAGAAGGTATGTAAAAAAGACTCGGATCTGTCGGCGCAAAGACAACTTTTATCTCCATCAAGCAGTCTCATAGAGCCTTTTACTAATCTCTACCTGAGTGTTCTATGATTCAGTTGCAAGTGGTGATCGTACAGCTGTTCGATAACTTTGAAGACCGGCTGTATTCACCCAAGCTGTACGAGAGTTTGGGTGTGGCAGTCAAAGAGTTCCAGGAAGCGAGCAAGATGATCGGCCGGCCGATGGGAGATATTCTCCAAGCCTTAGAGAGCATCCGTTTTCGGATCCTCGTCGAGGACCCCTCCTGGCCAGAAGTCTGTCAAGCATTCCAGAGAGTCTCGGCCGAGTTGCTAGGCTTTACTCTCACCAACTCGAAAGAGGTTGCTCGGCATGTCACCGGAGCAGTGGCCAAGGCGGCATTCGATAGCCTGGTCGAGTATTTAGTGCCCCGTTTGCTGTTGTTAATCAACGTAAATATGTCAAGAATTTTCCATCTGCAATTGCTTCAACCTCATCCACAAGAGTGTTGGGGATTCTGACCTTATGATTATTCATCAACAGGAAATACCTTCACCAAGGATCGAATATGTATCCCCGACGATTGACGCGGTTTTCGATGCGAGTTTTCCAATCTTTCGAATAAGCATCAATGCAGCGCTTGCGTCTACATCACAATAAAAACAAATGCTATGTACGCAGACAGTCTGACGAGCTAATTACATATATCTTCTACTTTGGGATTGCCAGCCGGCCAGTTTCACTTCTACGTCTGGCTTTTTGCCCAGTTCTATGATCTCGACAACCGTCCATCGGTTCGAAATCAGTCAGCGGGCCTCCAGGCAAGGACCTGGGAGGATCCAAGGACCCAATTCGTTATCCGTCCAGCCGAACACCTACCAAAAGATCTCGATCGTCGGATTGAGAGTGTTGTCGAAGAACGTCGGTTTTTACTTCCACAAGAAAGTCGACCATGACAAGAGCCTAGTCGCCCAAAAGCTCGACTTTACGAACATCGAGGACGAGGGTAAGCTCGATATCTTCCTTGGTATGGGCGACCAGGATGGCTTGTCTCTCGACTTGGAGCTCGACTGGAATTATCACCGCCATCTCGATCGCTCCTCCGAAGTTTCCAGACGAGCTCGTCAGGCTCCGAGCATCGAGAAGCCGGATGGCTTGTTCTTGATCAAGTCTTGCAAAGTTGACTTGAAGGTGCGATCTTGATTGTTCTTTGTCCACTCCTACTATATCGATATACATGCAGACCTTGCGCTGCTTCTAAAGATTGCGCTTGAGAATCAGGCTTGAGAATCATGGAATAATGGATGTATATTATGTACCACTCAAAGGATCATATTTGTCCATCATTCTTACACTGTCTCTAACCATCGCCAAATCCTCTGCACTTTGAATCCTCTTTTGCACGTCAACCTCCCCACAGGGCTTTGGAGTTTTCCCTCACGACACCAGTCATCCCGTGCTCAATTGGATCTTGAAGCCAGGATTGGAACCGTACATACATACCAAAATCACAGAAACCCTACAAGGATACTTTCTGGATCAATTGATTAGGCTCAACAAATTGTTGGGTAAAATGCGGATCCGATGGGAAGAAGTGGCAGACTCGGGTCCAGGTACGACATGGGAGAAGCTCTGGGAAGTGATCCAGGTGATGGTTTCTAGCTCGAACGAGGCCGAGGAAGAAGATCAGCCGGAGAGTACGTCGAAGATCAATGGGAGCGGTTTTGAGCTCGAAGCTGAGGACGGCTCGTATACTATCCGGATTGGGATCGGCCAGAAGATGCTCCCTGGGAAAGGCCTCGGCGGCCCCGGAAGATTTAAGGAACGGCTTGCGACCATCGCTGATGACGCTGGCGCGGCTATCGACCGTCAGGTGACTGAGATAGCTGACGGGATTGCACAGGCCACACTCGATGGCGAGCGTCCAGGATGGCAATCGGATGTCTTTGATCTCTAAAGACAATCGGGTCGGCCACCCAAAGCTACCATCACAGCAAGCGCCAACCGGCTCTCTTTTTCACTGCAACAGACCGCAACCCCAAACTGTTCTCTTCCCCATCTTTTTAATCGGAGTCAGACGTTCTCTCTCCCACTTTTCAAATCTCACTCGCCCAGTAGCTATTAATCAAGAAACTTATCAAATGATTAAGTCTAGTAGATAATTTTTATTCGGATGTACTAGCTATATGCTGAAAATGCTGAAAATTTGTATATACAAAAGATGTATCATCACATCCTAATGCTACCTCTCAAAAATCAGTTGAGATAAATATTTGTAACTGTCACTTTCTCAAATCAAGCATCATCAAGTTGTAATGTACAATTTGTACTTGTAAACATCATGTTTTCCAGTACATTTGAGTTGACAGTCAACGTATTATTGAATCATTAATACTCCTAACATTTATTTCATTTTTCTTTTCTTTTTTTGAATGGTGTTAAATAGTCAACAGGTGAAATTTCCTCTTTTTTCAAGGGGGGCCACACTGGGCCAGATGTACACTCAACAGGTTGTGGACAGAAAAGGCATCGTGAGTGGATTAACCGGCCATTGTCGATGGTATCTACTCAAAAGTGCAATTGTAGAAAAAAAGAAAGAGAAAAACATGTAAAGGATGGTTTGAGGGAGGTCGAGACTAATTATTAGTTTTCCAAAGAGAGGGAATAAACACTTGAAATGTGGTTTGATTCCCATGCTTACTAGATATAATGGCTTGATTTCCATGATCACTAGATATAATCAACTTATTTGCAACCTCGTCCTTGGAATCTTGAGTGCAATCAACAACGTTGAAATCAATCTTTTGTTATGCACAATTATTTGAATCTTGCTCGTGGACCAGTGCATGCTGATTGTGTATGTATGTACCAGTAGGACTTTCAGATGACAAGCAGATATTGAACATGACTTTTCCTAGATACCGTACCCGCCTCTTTCTTCGAGTTACAATGCGTTCGAGTGACACCAAAACGGTTGGTCGCATGTGCTATACGCTTAGTTCTGCATTGTCAGAATACTTATCCAGATCGTCAAATTCCTGATATGAGATCAACATGAGATTCTACAGTTGGAATATTAGTGGAGCTTTATAATATGAAATTATCAAGACGAAGGGAACCCAGGATGTTTTCATAGAGTTACAGGTTACAAGTAAACAGGCTACATGGCCATTGGCGTTCAAAGCAAGAGCTATGAGATGGGTCCCGTACGAGGTGTTTTGACAAGTACCGGAGTTCTCATCTTGTACAGGAGATCAATAAGATGCCATAAGAGATGTCATAGGATCTCAAGTTTGTCGCATAAACATTTTGGAAGATCGAAAAGCAAATCATACTCTTGGTCGCTGGGTTCTTCTATTCGGACGTCGAAGACATCAGTTTGGATTACGAGCTTGTAAAATATCTATCTCCAAAATCTTAGCAAATCCAATTCATGAAACCATGTTAGTTCAATTTCCTTTGCTGACAGACCAGAAACAAAACTAAAATTACCTCCAAGCCCTGGGATGATATACCTGAAGTAGGTCCAGGATGAAAAAAAAGGGAAAGGTTTAGCTATGTACTAAAGTTGGAAAAATGTCATGGATTGACTGAACTTTTTATCATCTAACCCTTCGTCCACCCAGGCACTGACCACTTTTACTGAAGGATGCTTTGAGAAGATGTTTGCTAATCCTTCTGGGGCAGCAACCAGGTTCAAAAACAGGATCCGCTCCTCGGGAACGCCATGTTCGATCAAGACGTCAATCGCCTTGATCGCGGACCCACCTGTAGCTGTTTGATGCACACATGGTCAAGACAACTTCATGGAACCAGAATGTTTCGATAGCGATCCAAGTTACCAAGCATGGGATCGAGTAGCAAGACGTATCTATCTTGAATATCGTCGGGTAATTTTTCGTAAAAAAGCGTTGGCAACGCGGTTTCTTCATCCTACCAAAAAATAAGGGGTGTGGTCAATTGGCAGCAATGCTTTCTTTCCCGGGGATGTGATCGGACAGGTCATTCAAAAAGAGAAATGAATTCTCAAAAAGGATGGCGTACCCTTTGAATCAAAATTTTACCTATCCGGACTGATCTACAACATTCCCTCAGACCAGCCTCCATACTTTCACCGGCTCTCATGATTGAAACCCCACAGATTTTGCCCAAGAACTTCACGCCCTTGTATTCAGCACCAGTGGGCGTTTCGACACCTGTAAAAATTGGAGATCGAGCATGTGCATAGTTTTTTTTTTTAGCGGCGGGATCTCCTTTCAAAATCTATTTATATGAATCACTCACTGTGAGACTCTACAGGCAGATGATTTAAACCTGACCAAGATGATAAGATGCATTGGGCACATCTGGAGGTAAGTAAACCTGATTTTCTTCTTCTTTATTTTTTGATGGAAAAGGACAGTTTGACAGACCTTCCTCTACGAGTAATCGGATGATGCGATCGGCAGTAAAAATGAACTCCGATCGAGGGGTCTGCGGACGGTAAGCGTATTGGGGATCAACGATTCAAACATTCAGAGGATCCAGATAGTTGATCGAATTTATACGCTCACCATTTTATCACGCAGGATAGTCATGAGTCCATCAAGTTGGGTGGTTTGAGTGAGCGTCAATGAGTTCGATGGTAGTTCAGCGCAGTTAGGTATTTCCCTCGAGTTCGTCTTGCGAGCATTGTGCGAATGAGACCTGACGAACCCGTTTGCGGTAGGGTCGATATCTGACATGCTACAAATTCGTGAGCCGATGATTGGTAAACCGTGTACTCCGACTTGGGATGAGATATGGTCAAGACAGCAATCTGGCTGAGATCACACAGCAAGCAGGCCTGGCTGGATTGGTGGGGTGCTCGGAAGTGTTGCACATACTCCGCTGCTCATCTGAAATCTTGAAGTTGTCGGTCATCCTCATCGGGGCTCCAATGTATGCGGGGGAGCTGGAGCCGGTCGGGGAGCGGCTCGGGGATTGGTGAACGCCCTGTGACAGGCCCACGCGAGTCTCCACTCCACACTCACAGGCTGGAGCCAATCCTGACAAACACACACCAACAGCATACATAGAGTTGACCTATCGAGCTCAAAAAATGGGTTGGTGGTTTCTTTCAGGTTTCGTGCATCTGATACCTTGGATGAAGAAAACTGACATCCTCTCAAACCCCATCCAGATTTTCAGGTCAGCTATCTTGCCGAGACGACCGAGTGCGGATCTCCACAATCGGTTCTTTGGCTTACTGCTTAAACTCTTGCTTGCATTCATTTAAACAGAATCGAGTCGGATCGAAATTTGGTGGGGGAGGCCTGGCAGGTGCAAGTGAGGCAAATGTAGATCGGCGTGAAAGGCTTCGAAAACTCGCGCTTGAGACGATTGACCTCGCAAAAGTAAGCAATCGCATAGAATCTTGATAATATGGCTGCTTTGACAATGCTAAATCATTGAAAAATTTTCACCTCAGGATCCTTACATTCTCCGAAATCATCTCGGTGGACTCGAGTGCCGGCTCTGTCTCACCCTTCACACCAACGAAGGATCATACTTGGCCCATACACAAGGTAAAAAGCATCAAACCAACCTAGCTCGTCGAGCAGCCAAGGACGCAAAGGACTCCTCTCTCTACCAGTCGTCTCTGCTAGCGCAGCAAGCTGCCCAGTCAAGATTATCGATCGTCAAGAAGCAGTTCATAAAGATTGGCTCCCCAGGTTATCAAGTCACCAAAGTTCGCGATCCTCTCACCGGTCAACTCGGCCTACTCTTTCAGATTCATTACCCTCAAATAGCCGAGGGGGTCAAGCCACGTCACCGATTTATGTCAAGTTTTGAGCAACGCGTCGAAAGTGCCGATCGAGCTCATCAATACCTGCTGGTTCGTCGTCGAGCTTATTCAAATCAAACTCCTTAGTATCTTTCAGCTAAAACATTTCAAGCATTCATTTAGATTGCAGCCGAGCCATACCAAACCATTGCATTCAAACTTCAATCCCAGGAGATCGATAATTCCGAGGGTAAATCTTGGCATCATTGGGATTTAGAGTACGTCAACTCGTCCTGTCTCCATCTCTCCTTCTTCTTTTTTCCAGCCTTACTGACTTAGCTATCATTTCCCTCTAGCACAAAGACGTATAGCATGCAATTCTTATTCGCCTGAGAAGCCGCTCCGGCATCAAACACAACAGTTCCACTGAACTGCCAGCGACTTTCATTTCCGGTCAAGTTAATGTAATCCTCTCTTCTCTGCTTCATTGCAATTGTCCAATGTATGCTGCTTGTTTGCATCAGTTGAAATACTACCAGCACTACAATGGTCTGGAAAATCACTCAAAAAGCCATCGGTCTACCAAAACGGGATCAGTGCAGTACATCTTCCTCAAAACAAATTTGCCCAGGTCCCAGGCAAAGTCATTCCAGCAAGTTCTTTGTATGTTTCCCAATCAACACGCAAAGTCAAAGTACAAATTAAACATGTTGGAAGCTCATTGCAGGTAAATTGCATAAAATATATGCGACTACAGCAGTACGAAAGATGATGTTGCTTGTAATTTAAGTGAATCAGCAAAAAACATTAAATGATGCAGAATGGATAAATACATCTGTACATTTTCCATTTTCATTTTCATTATTCAGTAGATTGAGTTTTGTCAGTTCACTTTTACTCCTGAATGAAGTAGTTTTACAAGAAAGTTTATTTGTTGGACAATATCCTTTGTAATGGAGTATATTGTAGATATCTGAAGAGAGTTTCACAGGGCCAATGTTTCACAGGCACTTACACATAAATTGGCTATCCTGGTTCTGTGCCATTGAGAATTTCAAGGATGCATTATCAAAAAATTCAGTTTTTATTATTTTGAAAAATGTAGTTGGAATGAAGTAGAGCTCATTTCATTGAATCTTTATGATTGCCATTTTCCTTTGTTCAGCTGAAGTAAACAGCCATATGGGCCTATCCCATTTAATGTTGATTTTACACTCTTGAGTCCTTGCAAGCAGTTCTATCATCCTTATTAATCTAATGAGTGTCTCTATCCAGAGAAATTGAGTCTATTGTATCAGTGCTGACCATATTTTGATCTTTTGTTTTCAGGAAGGATCTTTTTTCTTTTTGATCAGTCAATGTTTTGAATTCAAGTTCTAATGTGCATAGTTTTTTCAGCAGTAATTCCACACTACCGGAGGGAAAAATGAAAAATTGGAAGAAAAATTGGAAATAGAAATGAAAGGAGTTAATGTTGCAACCAAGCAATTCATTGTTTTAACCAAGGCTTGTTGCATATGCAGCATTTTTGGTTAGGTTTAATCAAGATCAGACATGCTAAAGGGAACTGCCATGCATGTTTTCAGACTTTCATCAGAAATCAGCAGAGGTTGAATCTAATAAAGTTTGAATTTGGTTGCTGATTGTGAGATCAGTATTGCATGGACTGCTTTATATGACAACCACCATCAAACTAGATTTAGGCCACTCTAAGTTTACAATTTCATGAAGGTCCTTTTCTGCAGTTCTCCAAAATGCCACGGGGGTTAAGCCATTTTATAGGTAGTACATAGTGATTTGAGTCAAGTTCTATCAACTGTCTATGAGTTATTGGTTCGTCTGATAGCCAAAATGGAATGAGAATCTTTCTTTTTTGAGGGGACTAGCATTGCAAAAATGATGTTTCTATTTTTCTTGCAGAAAAAAACTCCACTCCTTATTCCTAGTTCTATAAGATGGCTTTTTCCTGCATGTATCAATCAGAATCATGTCTGAGGCATCAAGCTAGGTTTTTTTTGCTGATCAGCAATCACTGGTTTTCGAGCGGGCATAAACTGAAAATTTTATTTGTGAACCCCGCTATAAGTAGTTTCGCAAGACAATTAACATGACCTAACAACGATCACAAGGCTATGATGAAACGAGAAGTTAAAACAATCTAAACAAAAACAACCTGATGGCCAGAGTTGAAGAAGCATAGCGATGAACAACGAGTTGGGTAAGAAACAATTGACTGAATAATAGAAATGGAGAACGACACGTGACGGAGAACACAACTTTTGGATATTAAATCAATCAGGTTTCAAAAGCCACAACTGCGGCGCTACAGCCTATAGGTGTGCCGGTGAAGATGAAAATGCGTGAAATGGAAGAAAGCAGCAAAATAATCAAGATAGCCAAACCAAACTAAGCCAACTAATGAGAGATTCTCAGTAACTCAATGCCCGCCTTAGGTAACGCGAGCAGATTGTTATATGCCGATGAATTATTCTTGAAAACAGGGGTAATAGTTAAGCACAGACCCAGGTGCCGAAGGGAAGTCGGACGAGCAGGCCGGGCCAGCGGGCGGGAACACCGAGTGACTCGGGACGACCGCATTCGAGGATGCCGAGTTGTGATCGGCAACATGAGCGGAACGAGCAGGGAAATTTCCGGTATTCACCATTGGTAGCATTGGCGGCGAATTCTCTTGCGCTGGCACCGGACTCCACGATGGGTAGGCTCCTGGGTTGATGGCGTGGCTGATAAGCAAGTTGGACAAACTGAGACCAGCAGGCTATAAAATCAGTGCTTATACGAATTGAAAAAAGAAAACTTGAGGCTTCACTCAACTAGTTCACTCTTTCGCGCAACATTGCATTCTCTGCCACAATGGCAGTCATGTGGATCTCTTGATGCTGCGCAGCTCTCTGTTGTTGTTGTTATCAGCAGGGGTAGATAGTGAGAACCGCGCCAAGTTGTATTTAGAACACTTACTTTGCGACGCTCCCGCATAGCCCGTTGTGCCGCCCTGTTTTGCTGTCGGCGTTTCTAAATGGTTAGAAAAAGATAGTTAGTGCTCATGATCGTTACACAAAGGCTATAGTTCCAAGATGAAGCAT